AATGATTATACGTTACCCTTAAGTTATTATCACTAAGTTTTTTCCTCTGGGTGTATTTTATAACTTTTCGTATGAATCCGATCATCGAATCTCTCTTCAAGAAATGTATCATTTCTTTCTCTTTCATCTCTTTTTCTTATGTCCGCGTCAACATCCCTCATAGATACTTCAAGCGTCTAATAAGATTCCAATTCAATTACCAGAAAGAAATGGCCCGAAGGTCATCGATCGTCGCCCTTCTCGTCTACCCACTTGAATTCGAGCATAGAACGCAAAACAATTTCGGGACGTCCCTTTGATGGGGCCCGGAGTCCCTCTTCATCCCGCTCCTACTCACCCCAACAGCGTCCCGTTGATCCAAGCGCGCACGAATTTCTATTAAAAGCGGCAATTAGTCTAAGTCCCGATAAATCTTGATGAGTGATACGCCGACATCAGTCTCGTTGTCAAAGACGCCCGCGGCGCGGCCCGCACCGATTACCAATACACAAAAACGGGGCGCACGTATCTCGACATACGCACGCGTGTATGTACGTACGTACACGTGGCGAACGTGTACATATACGGGGACACGCGTGAGGGCGACGGACGAATTTCTTCGGACTTTTCTACGCCAGACCGCGGGGTCCGTTGTTATGTTAAACTAGGTGAGAAAGCTGGGATATACCCTCCCTTAGTCCCTTTCTTCATTAGAATTTTTAATGCAGCCGTTTAGTGGGCGCTGCCCTCGGAAATCGAGAACTGCAACGGGAACGCCGCCGCGAGGAACTCCTAAATGTTCCGACCTCTTTCTTCTCCCGCTAGCCGTTTCCTCTTCATCTTCTTGTCTTCTCTTCTTTTCTCTTTCTTTCTCCTCTCATCCATTTTTTTTCTTTTTTTTTTTCTTCATTATTTCGGTTGGAGCCTTAAATGCCGATCTTTCCCTCGGCTGCTTCGGCCGCGTCTCTGGAGCACGCGATAAATGTCTTGACTTGTGTGTGTTTCATGATTACGCGGTCGCACAGGTGTTTCTCGCGAGGAATCTAATCGATGTCTAATCATCGGCGGAAGCGGAATCATTTTATTTCACGGTTTAACTCTACCATATATATAGTCTAACTCCGCGATCAATTTGAGCGGTTATGCCTACACAACTGTTTCTTATTCATGCGGTAACTCGCGCTTTCTCCTCGCGCGTAGAAACGAATTACAGTGTAGAAGATAAAAGTTTTAACGCGCAACATCTGTTGTAATATCAACTCTTGATCGTATAAGAAACGTGGACTCTCTGGATAAATGATTTTCAATAGTGGTGACGTTGAAACGCTCTACACAAAGTAATATTTCTAAGACTTTTATTAAATTTAGTATTCCAAATTTTTCGTAGTTGCTGATTTCAAAATGTAAAAAAATTCAAAATTGGGAAATAAGGCTTTACTTGTAACACTGTTACAATTATTTTTTTAGTAATTAATAACGACGTTATATTTTTATTAATGATTGTTCGAGAATGCAATTACATTTTTGTAATAAATATAATAGTTGCAAATCTAAATAGTTATGATTTGTCATTGTTTTGTAAACTTTTAATACAATGTATATGGAATGTGCATAAGCGAATTAAAAGGAAAAGAATGTTCTGTTTGACAATATTACGATTAATCATTATAAATCTCCTGATGATCAATTAGTAACTTTGGTATTTGGATGTCACTCATTAAACTTTGATGAAAAAGTATAATTTATTTGATACTTTTTGAGTAACAATAATAAATTACTTTTTATAATGGATAACAAATTATAATGGTAACGAGTTATAACTTTTTATTAAAAGGAATTTTTCCCTGAAAAAATTAAACTTTAAAATTCTTATGAAGATGTTGAAAAAGAAAGACTTAAAATCTTTTTCTTTTCTGTAAATTTATTTATAGATTCTGCGGGATTTTCTGTGAAGAATTTAAATATTTTGGCGTTTATCTATAAAATCGAAACGTATCGAGGTCATCCTCTACCGATCAGCTTCTGCCGAATGAAGGATGAAAAAAGAGGGTTAAAAATGAACAACGTTTATAGCAGCAAAATTTGATTTCAGGCGAGACGCCGATCGCCACAAAACCATCCAATCTTCGACAAAGAGCGAGTCCGGTTTCCGAGAGCCTCGTGAGACTTCGAAAATCGGCTAATCAATTTCTTCCGCATTATAGCGTGCTACCTGACGTCGCTCCCTGATTCTCTTCAACATTTGTGCGACCTTGTCGCAAGGGACCAATCAAGCCGAAACTTTTTTCTACGAGGGTCAATGGTGATATTTAGTCTACTAGCGACACTTGACCGTAGTTCGAGCAACTTTTACCAACTCCTAGACAATCTACGAAAAATATTGTCACACGGAACTATCGAACTGAACCTTTGTCTACCTTTGCCCGGAAAACGCACGGAACGAATGTAACTTCGCAACACTTCTTTCTTCGCGATGTTACGCCCCGTTCCGTCGACTAATTGTCAAAAAGATTTTTTCTTTAAATTGCCATCGGTAGCACATATCCAATCGGATTTGTCAAACTTGATGTTAATGGCAAGGTAAGGAAGAAACGGTTGATTAAAGTACAAGCGAAGAGGCAATATTTCTTAGCTCCCTGTCGTGAAATTGCATTGATATAATCGGCTCGAAAAGTTATCGACGAGCTTGTTAGAAATGTCTTAATAATCGAAGTGGATAGAATGTATCTGTCAGCAGAATATAGCAATAATAATTCGTAACGCTTCAAATGTAATCATTTCTTAATATTGCTTAGAACTTTAAACTCATATATATAAAACAAAATGGGTAGGAATTGAAGGAAGAAATTTTTTGTCGATTTTCTAAGATTATTTGAAAACGTAATTATCTCAGGTGTATTCTCCTGCAATCTTTGCTTAACGAGAATTAATACAGCAACTGCCAAAAAATTTTCTGGATAATAAATAATCTTATGATTGTATCCTAGATAAAATGTATATCTTTATAAATAAAGATCATATATAAATATATATTCAATATATCATTATTACAGCAATAATTTTATAATATAAAAATAAAAATAGATTAACACGCAAAAATGATCATAAAATTATATGCCGAAAACTTTTAGCAGCCACTACTATATTTCTTCAATTTATAGTATTAATGAATATCATGAATATAATATCATAAACATTGTTTTGCGAATTTATTATAGTATCGATTTAGAATACACTTGGTTAAGTTTACATTAAAAAGCTTCAATTGCAAATTTACAGAATTTAAGAATTTAAGAACAGACACTTAATTTCTGATATAAGTAGACTATCCCTTTTACGATCTAATCTAAAATATATGAACGTTATGTGATTATGTACTTTCAAACTATTCTTCTATATAGTTCTAATCGCAACGTCGATCATAAATTGACTTCTAGTCTGGCAGAGCCCATTCAGAATATTTTTTCTAAAGTTACGTTTCGTTGATCAGTTGTAAATCTTGACTAAACCTTGGAACCGATGAAATGAAATGCAAAATATTTGCAGCCACCTACGGCGGATTTCCTTCATCCGTTTTCGTTGCAGCAAGAAGAATTTTCGAGAGTCCTCCAGAAGAAAATCCATAGACCGGTGAGTCCCTTGGGACCTCCTGGGGTTTTTACAGCTTTGACTTGCCAGGATTTTGCTACTGTACTAAAGACAGATTTACAAGCAGGTATACAGACACATTTATGGAATGAGTTCTTTAGAAAAATTTATATCAGGTCCATTATGCGTTCATTATTATTTTATCTCCAGTGACGGTTATAAATATCTTTCTACTTATACAAGCTGAAGCCGACACTTTTGAGATGCACTATTTCGAAACCGAACATCCTCAAATCGATGGATTAAAAAAAATCTTGAAAAACAATTATTAATATTTATGATTAATTTATATGATAACTTAAAATATTTATTAACTTAAAATAACTCTAACTAATTAAAGGAGATACAACAGAAAAAAATTGAAAGAACGCGAATGAAAATGGAATTAAGAATTTGGAATTCGTTTCTTCGTTCTTTTTATTACACATAAAGAGCATATTATCTCTAATAGATGATAAATAATTTCACTGGATTAAAAATAAATTCTTAAGATTCAAATTTGCAAATTCGTAAACAACGCATTCCATCCGAAATCCAGTTAACAACCGGCAATCACTTCGCTTGCCGCGCTATCGTCTCCGGTACCGCCGGTACCATACACATATCAGTAGCTGTGATACACACGAGATGCAATCCTCCGCGACGACACGTTCCGTGGGCGGCTCCGTGGGCAGAGCCGCCCATTGTGCGGCATTCGTTTGCCAACCACGTGGTAGGGCGTAGCCAGTAGTGGGACCCCACTGGTATCATGAGTCCCAGCGAGAGAGAACAGCGGAGCCCCCCCTTCACCCTCCGCTCCAACGTCCGGACATGAGCCCCCCTCGGTGCTCTCTCTTTCAAGGGAGAGACACACGGGACACACGGTACCCCACAGCTGACACGTTATTGCCGCAGTACCCCTCGTAACGAAAGCAGCGTGTACTTTGCCGATTCGTTTTCTTGTTTCCCAACTCAGGAACGTGCTTGATCGCGACGTCGCCCTCCCCCGTGTTCGAGGGCAACCGTGGCAACTTCGCGCAAATCATTTTCATCCCCTGTACTCGGATACAACAGACAATCGTGTTTTATTTGTTCCTTCCGTCCGGAAGGAGTAGAGCGCCCTCCAGTTCTGTTTTTCTCTTTTTCCTTCTCTTTCTCTTTTACGAAATTCTTCTCAACCATTTGTGTCTATACTTGGGACGTGGGATCTTGGACCCGAAAGCGACTGTTCCTCCCTCTGGATTTGAATGCTCGACAGAGTCTTTTCCTTTTGGAGCGAGTGGCGAGTGCAAAGGACGAGTGCTTTCTGGCTCGAGAGTGCCGAGAGTGAGAAGTTCTCCTAACAGTGTGTGTGTGAGAATAGTTGTGACTCGGATAACGCAACGAGAATCGGCATGGACATCGGCGGGAGATCCACTTTTGGCGGATATATGTTTCAAGGTTAGTTGCATCGAAATTGCGTGAATCATCAAAGTGAATAAAAATTAAGTAGCAGAATGATGAACAACGACAGGCATATAAAAAAATTTTTGATATTCTTTCACATTTCTATAAAAGCTTTTTTCAAAAATTGGATAATATAGTATCTAGAAAAATAAGTTATATAGTAATAAGTTATAAGTTATATAGTTTTCCTAGTAATTTATCTTGAAGTCTCTCTTTTCTAACAAGGTTAGAAATTCTTGAGAAGTTAAATATATTTACTCGTATCATTTTTAAATAATAAACTATTCAGACTAAACTCGTGGTGTAAATTATTATTTTAAACGCATTTTTGTAATCGTTACAGATTCAATTTTTAAATGTTTTATTATCGTTATATATTATCCTAGATATACCACGTTGCAATATTACTAAAATGTCCCATGCTACCTGAGATGTTTGCTTGTTGTTCTCTCCAATCCTGCTTCTTTTCGAAACTTATATATATCTTAAACTTTTATAGTTGTTACAGATTCAATATTTTAATATTTTATTATCGTTATGTATTATCCACGTTGCTGGAATGTTCCCTGCTGAAATGTTTGTTTGTTGTTCTCTCCGACATTTATACTGCTTCTCTTCGAAACTTATATAAACACGATAATTTGCACGATAATTTTTATATCTCAAGTCTCATTCGTTTTGTAATTTTATTTTTTTTTTTTTAGGAGATCTTTGATAATTAGATATGTTCACGTTGCTTGAAAATTTTTTGCTGAATAGAACATAAATATATATTCGGATGTTGGAACGAAAGGAAATGAATGCAAAAACACGAACAGACTTATTGATGCATGTGGGCAGTTTCATAAGTTAGTAATTTTTTTTATTTTTTTAAAATCAAAATTTTTATTATTATATATAACACAGTCTCCTTTTAAAAAGTCACTGATTTATTAAACTGCCTATGTCGATTTAATTAATTTTAAATAAATATCGATTTAATTTGTTCTAAATCGGTAAAACAGGATCCTCGAGTCTCGTTCTCTAGCAATTTCTCACGCTACCGATCTAATTTCGACATCACCAATTAAGTCGTGGATCTTTTCTATAATCCTTTATCGAATACTCGCGATCTTTAGACAGTCAAAGAGCTGCTGCATAGATTATTAATTTTTTTAAATGAATTAATTAGACACTATGGCAAGTTATAATCGTGCTGTTCAAATACAATTCCCAATGATTATAATGCATAAATGTAAAATGTTTTAATGGAAATAGTTTCGTGATTTGCATTTCTTAATTGCGATTCTCAGATCTTATCTGGCCGCGTGCGTCTCTGACGGCGTACGATAATAACGGCGTGCGTAAAAGGGTGCATTTGCGTCGAATTACACTGACGTTAATCGTCACATTTGAAAATTTCATTACTGCGATTAAATAATTTACGCAACGCCACGTCGATAACAATGTAGCCGCTTAATCGTCACGTTCGCGCACGGTTATTAAGACGATAATTAAATTCAGTCACGATCACTATTAACACACATTCGATCGATTGCACCGCCGTGTGATTTTGATAAATCAATCCTGTCCAAAGCGAGCAATCCCGTCGTAAATTAAATGGTAACGCGCGTTCGCGCCGCGCCTGGCCGTACATTAAACATTCCCCTTCGCCGCCATTTAATTGATATTCATCTTTAATACGAGCTCGCGCTTCGAAATTGAATAAGACAAATCTATATTTGATATTATCATGCCCCGTATTGGACATGGATATTTATTAGGCGTGACATAATTTTCCCTTAGGCGCATTGTGTGAAACGCATCGCGGTAACACTAACCGCAAATTGTCGAAACGATATATCGTATTCGCTAAGTAGATAATTAGCGATCGTTAAAAATGATAGATAATATCGTCGTGAGCATTGTGCTTTTATTTGATATCCTTTATCAATGTAAATTAATTATAATCTCGGGTTAACTTACTTTTTATCTTCTCCTAGTTCTAAGAATTAGACAAAAAAAATAAAAAGTAAATTGAATCGAGATTAAAATTAATCTACATTGTTAGAAACAGGTCTGAATTCAAGAATTGTATTGATATTATTCGACAAATAGAAAAAAATATCATTCGCTTGATTTGAAAAAAATTATTTTAATATTCTAACAATGTAACAAATAATAAAATAACTGTTAACATCGTATTACAAGAACATTAATTGTAATTTTTATACAAAGATCATTGAGGATGCAGCAATCGTCGAATTTTTTTCATTAAAGCGTGTTATATTCATAAAGTATCTTCATAAGTTAAAATAGCATTTGTAAAAGTCAGTTACAAAACGTGATTTTTGTGACAAAGCGCACAGCAGGAGGCGTCTCAAAAGGCGTCCCGACGCAAGCAGGCCGTCCAGGTCAGTATGACAAAGACGACGATTATCTTTAATATCGGCCGAAGGTTACTTGAGAATCCCTCGAAAGAAACCCACCGACCGATTCGAAGATTACAACGAGTGGATTCCATCGACAATGAGATTCCGTCATTTCAGACGCGCGCGCGTTCAGACGATTATTATAATTACCCGTCTCTCCGCTCTGTGTACACGGAGCGTCCGTAATGCGTAAACATAGTAATTACGCGTGCGGCATCGCACGCGCGTTTATCCGGGATGGCCTGATGATACGGGAGCTAATGTCACGTACGGTAGGGTGGCTAATTCGACTAACGATCCGGCTTTATACTCGTTAGTGCTGGAAACGGTCCGGTGCACGCCTCCTCGCGCGCATAACTTCTTCAATTTTACGGCTGTTAGCCGTGTTTTTGGTATCCTCAGCCGAGAGTGCACGCCGCTCCTGTTATCTGATTTCATGTTTGCGCCCCGGTCCGATTCTGCCGCTAATTTCAAGCTCAATCACCGCAATTGCGCGATCACGAGGCCGCTCACGAAATCACATTTTTCCACCGTTTGTTACCTTTGTCACTCGTTTTTCCAATGAGAACCATCATTATTTGCCGAGCGTCTTTGTTTTTGCCAAAGAAAATGAACACACTTATTTATTATTAATATTTTGATCGATTCGTACGTTTTTAAAGATTTCCTTTCCCTCTCTTCTCAAAATGCTGCCACGAGCAAATACTTCGAGAAGTAAATATTTCGAGAAGTAAATTTGTGAAAATATGTAGAGACTTTAAAATTTAAGATTGCGATGCATTTTCAATTAATTCTACCTAAGAAATGTCTAGCGGTTTGTTTTTTTTGTAATTAATAATTATTTGCTGTTTTAATAATAGATTTAATAATAGAATTTTATTAATTTTTCGGTTTCTTCTTATAGGACAAGGACGAATGAATCAACTAGGTGGAGTCTTCATTAATGGGCGACCTCTTCCTAATCACATCCGCTTAAGAATCGTAGAAATGGCCGCCGCGGGAGTCCGTCCTTGCGTGATCTCTAGGCAGCTTCGAGTCTCACACGGCTGCGTCTCGAAGATCCTGAATCGATATCAAGAAACTGGATCCATTCGTCCGGGTGTGATTGGCGGCAGTAAACCACGAGTAGCCACGCCGGAAGTCGAAACTAGGATCGAAGAGTTGAAGAGGGACAATCCAGGAATATTTTCTTGGGAGATTAGAGATAAACTTCTGAGGGTGAGTGGAATTAATTCACGCATTCTCCAAATTATTCTTTCTCTTAAATAACTCCGGAAGAGAATAGTCCTAGTAAGATCTCCGTTACAAAAGCTCTTCGGAAAAATAGAATCTTAATAAATCTTAAATAAATCGAGAAGAGGTGTTGTATATTAAAAAAAAAAGAAGAAGAAATACATGAAGCTACGATTGTATGAATACGAAAGGCAAAATAGCGATTTCAAGCTGCTGCTTCATTATTCCGGTCACGCGGACATTTTTCCATCCGCGAGAATCCCGCGAGCCATCGTTCGACCCCTTCGATCGAACGTGGTGGACGTTTTCTGCGCGCTTACTCGTGTCTCTATCTCTCTCGGGGATCATGCTCAATGGGGCTTTTTAATCTTGTGCACGAGGCGAGAGCGGCGGGGTACGTGAGCAGCCCGAGGCGACTCGCGTGTCCTTTAATACTTTACTGACCGCCGTCTACACCCACGCCTCATTGGCGTAACACCTCCGTGTCTGGATTTTCGAGTATGCAAATGTGTTTTTCTGTGAATAATCTCTTCCGCGTTGCATCGTTCAATCCCGATGTATCGATGATTTTCCTTGAAAGAAAAAAGAAAAAAGAAAAAGAAAACAGAAAGAAACGCTTCGTTCGTATGATGCACGAGGAAGATATTACCGTGAAAAGAGAAAAGATTAATTACGTACGCGACATTAACGCTGAGTTTAAGGACATATTTAATTATGAGTTGCTATCGACGTAGGCGTTAGTAAATTACGGAATGTAAGCAGAATATAAATGTATAAAAAAAAAACACTGAAAGAATTCCTCATCAGCAAAAATCATATTATATACATATAAGAGAGAATTATTGCTTTTCCTGCAGTTTCTAATCTAAATTTGTTTTCCTACAATTTTTTTTTTTTTAACAAAATATATTTAATATCACGCAAAAGTGAAAACAAAAGATGATGTCACCAAGAACTATTATTAGGAAATTAAATTGATTATTTAATCCAGCGGTTTCGTTGGCCGACCGTCGGCGTGAATCCTGATTCACCCCCGGGCTCGTCCTGCTTTTATTTGCGATCGAGTCGATCGTCCGGCGCGGTAGCACTCCTTTCTCGGAGCAACAAAAGTCAGGTATCGGATCTCGGGGAGGCCTCGAATATCTCTACATGTTTCCGTGATAAGATCGACGGCGGTTCTCAAACCGAAACCGTGCGAAATTCCGATAGGACGGGATATTTTGTCCCTCCCATCGATGCTGAAACACCTCCCTTGCCGAGGGCGATCTACATGATAGAGAGATAAATCTCGCTCGAAAGAAGTATCATGTGCATCGACCGCAAGAGCGACAATAAGGAGAAAATGTATCAATCTGCGGGAGACGTGCGTGCAAAAATAGAGAGAGAGAGAGAGAGAGAAGAGAGATTGTGGAAGAGCCAGTCAGAAAGAGAATGAAAGTGAAAGCGAGAAAGTGAAAGAAAGAAAAGTATGAGCAAAATGAGAATGTAATAATGTGTGTGTGTGTGTGTGTGTGAGAGAGAGAGAATATCTGTGAAAGAGAACGAGAGAGACAGAAAGGAACGATGAGGAGAATAAAAAAGGAGACAGGAGAGAGGAATTAAGGGAATGAGGGCGAGAAAAGAAGAAAAAAGGGTTCTTGAGAGTGAGGAAAAGCGAATGAGCAAGAGAAAGAGAGAGAGGAGGGGGGGGGGGGGTTACCGAAAAACACCGAAAAAGGAGAGCCGATATGGATGGACGAACTACGAAGAGCGAGACGACGAGAGGACGACAAGAGAGCCGTCGTAGAGGAGGAACGAGAAACGGTTTCGAGAACACGTACGCCGCTGCAGTCGTGGAGGCAGGCCGGTCGTGGCCGGCATTAATACGGCATTTAATGTTGGAAGGAGGCGTTCCTGGGGCCCCGAGGCCCGCAGGGCGCCTCTCTCTCCTCGTCGCTCCTGTGGTCCAGCTGCCTTGCCGGGTCTACGTTTATCTCTCTCTCTTTCCTGTCATCGCCCGGGACTCGACGCTTCAGCCACCACTGGCAGAAGGATCGTTATTGTTTCTGAGATCGGCAGATAGCGATCGACACCGACGACCCCCTTTTCCTTTTTTTCTCCTCTCTTTTTTCCTCTTGTCTCTTTCTCTTTCTTCCGCTCTCTCAAATCACCGATCTCCTTCATTCTTCCACCCGCTCTTCTCGCTTTTAAATCTTCGGCAAAGGCAAAAGGCAGTTCTTTCACCTTGGCTCGCGGGATAATGCTCACTCGATCTTACCACGCGCTTTCTTTATTTATCTCGTTCTCTTTAGCGAATCGTCCGTTCGGCACGCACTGATCGATCGCCGCCGCCGTCTCTCGATCGCGCCGCCGATAACACCGATCGGTATCGACGCGTGCGTACGTGCGGAGATTTTCGCGGCTCCACATGCGGGACGATACTGTCGATGCTGGGTAGGTGTGGCGACGAAGTTTTCTTGATACCAGATATGGAATCACGAGATATGAAGAAATCTTTGAAACACTATACGAGCTTATGAGCTGCACTGCATCCAATATCTTATATAATCTCAGTTAAATGGACTTGATCTGAATAATCTCGATCTTGATCGTGATATTGAAGTTATATATGAACTTATTTTTTTTTATAGAGAAATAAATCGACATTTGAAACATTGTTAATTTCAATAAATTGCAAATGCAATTTTCCTGTTCGTTTAATAAGATAAGGTGACCCATGAAATGTCACACCATTTATCACCATTTATTTTCAGACTTTAGTAATCGATTTTATACTAATTTAATTAAAAATTAATGTATTATATAATATAAACAAAATAGTATAATATTTTATGTAGCCTTCTCGTATATATATTTTTCTTAAATTAAGTTTACACGTCATTTTGGTATAATTTTTCTAAATGCCTTTTAAAAGTATACAAAATTTGCGGGACAAAAGTACTTATATGAAAGGCTTGGATTGTACTAGATATTGGATACTTTGTACTTGATCGTTATTATACTTCCATAAGATAGCCACTCCGTACGGACACTTTGTGGACATCCATCAGCAAGCGCGCATTGGAATCGTTGAAACTGCAATTATTATGACAAAGATGATAGCTCGTCAGAGTTCCCGTTTGTGATGTTATGAGTCTTTTGTTTCTCATAATGACTGCACTCGTACAACATCACTGCAAGTGCAACATCAAAACTATTGCAATTGAAGAAGAGGGTTATTCCGTTTCTCACACCAACGGAAATAACGGAATTTGCAACTAATTGTTTGCTATGTTAGAATTTCCTATGTTCAACTTTGCTGAATCATGAATTCTTCTCACGTATTCTAAGATGAGATAATTAAAAACTAACGATTGCGATTCATCAAGCTTCAGAATGCTGAAGACGACAAATGCCTCGTTGCAAGTAATTTAAATAGCAATCCTAAATCTAAGCAGTAGTCCTACTTACATTTTGTGATTCATTTATCTTACGTCGCACGTATAATTAAACCGCAATCATAGTAAGTCATTCGAGACAAATCTCTCGCTTGAAATAAATGCCACGAGATGATTTCAAGAGAGCTTACTCATCGCAAATAAAATCAAATGATTATATTAAACGCGCGTTAAATCAATTTTCTTTTTCACTTCATCAAATTAATTTTATTAATTTCACGTAAAGTTCACGATGGCGATGGATTTATATGTTTCCTCAAATGACTGATTTGTTGGAGAATCTCTGGATTATTGTTATGATCGCATCTTACGTCAACGATACAACGAAACGTTGCTTCGCTATGAAAAGGTCGCTTTCGTTTTCCTATGTATTTCGTCGCTGAGCAACCTGGATCCCGCGGGTCGTATTCTGTCGTGATGCACATGCATGTAACGGTGCTGGGACACAATATGTAATAATGCTGAGTCTCTCTCGGTGCGGTGCAAATATGTATGCCGACACGAAAATAATCGCACCAAATTGTAGTGCAGTAGCATGCAGTTGCAAATGCCACACACGGATCGATGGTGCCACGTAACTCTATACGATCGATCTGCCGATCTCTAGCCGGTGAACGCTGGATCGAGACGGAAATGTGCGAAGTTTTGCGTAAGCCTAGCAATCTTTACCTGAGAAATCGCTGAACGTTTTTACGCGGAAATTACCCGAATTAAAATGAAAACAAAAGACGAAAGGAATAGAACTGTCTTATCATTATCATAATGATAATATCGCAGCTTATCTTTCGAAAATGATATATCTTGTATGATTAGGATGGGAATCTTTACGAAAAATTGCTGGTTTCACCAACTAAATAATTCCAATTGTGGAATATTCGAATAGTTCGATTCGATTTCTAATTCTGTTTCTAAAAAGCTATTAAGATAGATTTTGAGTTATATTAAGATATTTATTATAATTAATTATAAGTTACAAGTGATGACTTTAACAGGCAGAATATGAATTACTCATATGATAAATAATTTTTAATCTAATTTTAATTTTAATTTTATACATTTTACATTAGTTTTTAAATTTAGGTTCTTAGAACGTTTTTGCTGATTACTTTATTCTATACAGCACATATCTTTAAGGAACATCTTAAGACGTAAGACATCCTTTGCAGAGGATGTCTTACGTCTTAAGGACTTCTCTTAAATATAGTATGTTGTGTGGGATGTTTTGATTGTGCCTCTTCTTGTTTTGATGTGTTCCTCTTCTTATTTTACGTTCTACTGCATATTTTCTTCTCTATATCTAGCATTGCACATCAATAAAGTTATTATCATTATTATTAAAATTGTTATTATCATTATTATTATTAAATTGAATTACATTTGACTTGTCATTTTAATAAGCAGTTTGGTTTACACGCAGGAAGGTTTCTCGGATCCACCAAGCGTCAGTTCCATTAGCAGACTTCTTCGGGGCGGACGACCAGGGGATGACGGAAAGAAGGATTATACTATCAATGGCATATTACGTGGGGGTAAGTCTGAGCTTCTCCATATTTTGTACGCTATCTTTACTAAGTTTCATTTAAAAAATTCTACGTGCGCATTATGATCTATATAATTTTCCAATAAATTTCGAACGATAAATCGACGTCAATTCTCTTCCAATCCGAGTACCTCTTCGCTCGATCATTATCCGCTCGCCACTCGCGAAAAGCAAAACGAGCACGTAACAGCACGAAAGCCGCGTAAAGTTCTCATCGGACAGTCGAAGGGTTAATTACCCTTTTAGGCTGTCAGCAGCGAGAAAGAAGTCCGCGCAGCGATCCCAATAGCAAAGGCTGTGCCGGCGCGATATCGTATGAGAAATATGGAACGCAGGAGGAAGATAAAATAAAAAAGAAAAAAAAAGAATGGAGAGACGCACGATCCATCGTCTTGAGGGGCATCAAGAGCTTTTAACCTCCGCCGGTCCCTGTGGACCCAGTTTGACGTACGCGAGCGTATATATATCGGGGCCTTAAGCGCCTTCGCTCGCTCTCGCTGTTAGGGACCAAGTTAGTCCGAACGAGCTGGCGAACCGGCGGGATTTAATCTCCGGTGGGCGTCAGCAGGATTAGCCAGGTTGCCCACACGTCCGACAAACGGATTACAGAAGTGTCAATATCTTACCGGACGCAAGATATTATCCCGCATCTCTCGTCTCGTTTCTTACCGTCTTCCTCCTTCCGAGATTTCTGTGACGTGATCATTCGAAAGAACTTTTCAAAGGTGACTTTCCACAACGCTTCTGAATACGCAAGAAATACTACAATTTTTCCAATTCTTTGATGAATTATAAGCAGATCTTATAATCGCGATTATGGAAAATTTTTCGATGCATTTCGTTATTCTTTAAGAGATATAGAATATAAAAATAATTTTATCAATTAATTTATAATTTATAAAAAGAAGTAAATGTATATTTCTAATGTAAAATAATGATTTACGTGATAGACGTATTTTTTACCATTTAGTTTGAGGATATAAAAAGTTGATAGGTTATTGAAAAGTTTATTTTATTCTACATCTAAAAATTTATGTTACACGAGTTATGAAGAATTAATTATTATGTAAAGTATTACATCTTTAAAATTCAATGACGACAGTAATCAAATTTTAAAAAAGATGATTATTTCTTTATGAATGCTACAAATTACAAATAAACTCAGTAGAGAGATCATGTAATTTCTAAATATCTGCTATTGAATCTGCTCGATCCAGAGCTCCATTTCGTTTAGATGGAATATCTCGATTTCTAAGCCGCACGATTAGCCTAAATGTTCCAAACGCGAGGCGGGAATCTGTTTTCGTGATTGATACAGGTAGACACGGTGGAATTAGCGGTACAGGTGTCCCAAAGTCTTAAGAAGTCAGGCCGGCGAAGATGCTGCCGGGGTCGAGAAAAGATCCTTCGATCGCGGACCATCGAGAATGTGAGGAAAGAGTCGAGAGCCAAGAGCCAAGAGTGGGCCTCAAGGCCCAGAGGGTCCCGCGGAGATCAAACGGGCCGCCTGCCACACGTCGACAGCGGTGCTCATCCGTGGCTCCCTGCCGTTCCTGCGACGATTCTTTAATCAATCTAGTCGAGCAAACTGGTCTTGCGGAGTGCCCACGTATCGTTTCACATAATATTTCGCGCCAGTAATCTTTTAACACGACATTTGCATCTCGGACGTGACATTGAAGTCGAGACTGAAGCGAATAGGACGACGATAAAAATATCGGCGCGGCCATAAATAACTAGAAGCACTCGATGAATTTCGAAAAATAATAATTAACGTTTTAAACCAGGGCGCGAATTTCGTCAATAAGAAGGCGCCTTTGAGGAAACTCTAACCGCGCGCCGAGCAAACCGAGGAAACCGTCAATTACAGATGCGTATCATTTTCGGCATGGATAATTATGCACTCATGATATGCAACTGCCGCACGCGTTTCATAATTTTTTCTCAAAATTATAACGATAGAAATCTTGTTCGCTCGCCTGCTTGCCCTCGTCCTTGTCGCTCTGGATTGGTGCAAAAATGAATAATTATTTAACGAGCGGGTACGCATTCGATCTCATTCACGCCGCCGTTTATTCATCATTAACCGCTTTCGCGGTCAGTATAATTGATTAACGCCGATCGGCCGAATTAAAGCGCCGGCGATGCACTTTATCCGCGCTGCAATTCATCTGTGCAAATTTCAAGATAAAAGAGGCGTCCGTCTTTCACACGCTGTAAAAATAAATAAACCCCGAAACAAACGCGGCTTTATGACTTCCTGTCATCAATATAAAACGAGAAATATTTAAGTCTATTAAAATATCGTAAATACCGTTATAAAGCGGATACTTTCCACGGAAATTCATTAAAAAGAGTTTACAAAAGAATAATTATTACTAAAAAATAGATCTATATAGCAGGAATAAAACGATTGGAAATTTTATATGCAATAATTGCTAGCAAATTGTCGAAATATTATCTTACATAAAAAAAAGGATTTTGCTGAAATATCTAAAAATTTTAATTAAATACATATTTGAAAATAATTTTATTAGAAATGAAGCAAATAATTATAGCTGTGTTTCAAAATTCACTGCTAGGGTCGAAATTTATATACGTAACGTAAACTATAGATTTTTAGCGTTAACAATGAATTTTAGAACACAATTTATAGGATGCTCAAGCTAGAATGTCAAAATTTTTTATAGTAGTATTTTTTATTAAACATTCACTATGTTTAAACATTCTACATAATAATTCTGATAGACTAACAAAATTATTTTCAGATTTGTATCTAGCTAAATTTTTAGATATTTCAGCAAAATCATTCTGCATTAATGCTAATTTAACGAAAATGCGGCACCTACGTTAATCAAGTTGGGAGATTGCTCCACTTTTATTTCATGACATAAATTATCGTAACATTAATTATACTTTAAGCTAAAGTGGCATACAAAATCATAAGACAGTCAAACATAAGCAATAAGCAAATCAGTCAATCACAGTAGAGAGCGTAAGTTTATTGCCGTCACAATATCCATTGTGATTGGCCAATTTACTTACTGCTTACGTCTTACGCTCTGCTTTACGTGTTTCTATATATTTCTGGCTTAATTTGAGCCTTTCAATTTACCTCGTTTTTCAGATAAGGGTGAATTATATTATCGCGCTCGGCGCTGCCGTGTAGTTGAATAATTTACGGGTGAGTCTGGCTGCGGAATAGGGAGCAAGGGGGCAATCATGATAGGGAGCACCTCTGGACGGATATACTCGTAGTATGGCGGAGGTGTCGGTCAGGGTATAGGTGTCGGCAGGCAAGCAGGAATGACACGTAGCCTGTGGCTTTCTTATTCCTTCTTATTCCGTTCCTTTGGCCTCGGCCGCCGACGAGGGATTAGCCTAATGGGTCCTGCCCACCCCCTGCACCATCCCTCCTCTCTGTCCCTCCTCGCGCTACACACACGTATATAATATGTATATATGTTGCGTCCTGATCCCTCTCTCACGTCATCCCTCTCTCCTCCCCTCCCCCCCTCTCTCTCTCTCTCTCTCTTTTCTTTCTTTCTTTCTTGGATCTCGAACGCAAGATCGAACCGGCAGAATATCCGTACGATGAACAACGCCGCTAAGTGATTCACAATCAGGTTTATTGATTGTATCGACGATCGACGATCGCTCTCATCGGAAATGCGCCGCCGATGCTCACGGGATACTGTTTTTAATGTTTAAGCACACCTCGGCGCACCGCGCCAGGATCCCTTTTCTTACGCGCTGCCGACTCGCTCTCGCATGATTCGCAATCAAATTTGCAGATTACATCGGGGCTCGACACGTTCACATTGTTCGGCCGTCGCGAGTTGTTTCAGCGTGCTATTATCAAGCGGCGCGCGAAGAGTCAATAAGATCTCTCAAAGCTGCGATAATATCGAGATATGAGGTGTCCTTAGTATGCTAAAAACGGTGATTTGCATGTTATATTAGTATTACTTCGCCGACCATATAGTTGGGGTAGAATGAATTGATCATCTTGACGAGCAAAAAATTAATTTATTGCCTTCGTACAATAGCATAAAAGAATCGAATTATTGAAAACATTTGTGTCCTTTGATATAGTTTAAATTCCATTATTTTATTTTATCGAGGAAAAGCGCTTTAATTATCCATGTTATTATACCGATGTCTGTAAAAAAAAAATTTTTGCAGAGAAACGAGAGAATTACACATCCCCTCTAATTTATTCACGATTTCCTTGCTTTATCAACGTCGCGTATCGGGCGTGATACTTTGTCGCTCCACGGTTTGTAATCCTTATCTCCGAGGAGTCGCGAAACATCGCGATTCGAGAGTCGACACATCGACGTGATGAGGAATGCGAAAGAAGTCAGCGATTACACGGACGAGAGAAAAAGGACGCAAGGACGCGAGAAAGAGAGCAAGAGCCGGACGTCGGGGATGATATCAAAGTGTATCTAATGCGCCGCACGAATCAGGCCGCAGGCCGCAGGATCCGTGGACGCGATCCTTGTCACGCGAGCGTATAATCCTCCGAGAGCGATGTACATACCCGTATCATACGACGTGTGTCTTTACAGACGCGGCTTTACCCTCGGATTGAATTAAGAAAGAGTCCGAGGTTTATGCGGGATAATCCTCTCGGATTGATTGCTAATTACTTATTCTTACATTTTGTACCCGACTTATCATCGACATCTTTTTTCGAGGAAATCTGCGGGCGACAGAATCCGGGTATTATTACATAATTTTGATTTACAATTTAAAAAATATGAAATAAAAGCTCTTTTCAATTTGATCTTGATATATGTAAAGGATAATTATACTGAAGTATATGTAAAGGATAATTATACTGAAGTATATAATTATACTAAAATATAAATATATTATACTAAAGATATAGCTACAAATCTGAAAATAATTTTGTTGGATCATCAAAGCAATTATTGGGTTGTCCGGAAAGTTCGTGCCGACTAACCTATATAATTTAATAAA